TGGCCCAGCGCTTCCTGAAGAAACCTCTGAAAAGCTGGCCCAACTTTCTGAACTTATGATGCTCATAATCATTTTCTGATTGTATACAGGCACTGCCCATGGACGTGCGCAACCAATGTGTCACGAATGGCGATATCAGCGGGCCCGCCTAAGACGAACGCGCGCGTGAGGGGCCGTTTGGTCTTTCGAGTTTGCACGGGGGGCCCGTTCGTTGCGCGCCCATCAGGGACTTGCACGAGGCGACGCCGAATTGGAGGAAGAGAAGGGTGACGACAGAAAAACAACGGCGAAGAGGAGCTGCAGGAGGGGGCAGGGTGGTAATCCATGAGGGAGTGAGTAGCATGGGCAAGGACGAGCACCATCACAGTCAGCAGCGATCCCAGGGCGAGGCTTCGGCCACCATCACGGCCTCAACCCTGAGCGGCTCAGTGCGGGCACTGAGTGCTCGCATCCGCGCGCACCCGACCCTCCATTGTGCGTGAGACGCACGGAGGAGCACATGAACACGGCAGCGCGCGATCTTCGAGCGAAGGAACAGGGCCGCGCCATCACCCTCCTTTGCCGCGCGCTCCACAGCTCGCAGCGTGCCTACACATCGCAATCGTTGGGAACAAAAACACATGCTCGCCTCGACCACTATCCAGACCCCTACGTCGTGATTTTTTCACAACGTCCACCCCCAGAGGTCTGGACTCCTTCCCTGGGACCCGCTTTTCATCCTGAGTCTGTGTTTGACGGTCCCAGGGCCCGGGAAGGGCCCCTGGAGGCCGAAGATAACGAACATCCTCCCGCCGTGATTTTCCTCACATAACGCAAGAGGGTCTGGGTTGCGAGCAGCTCCTCTGCGAGTCATGGGACGTCACCACCCACCAAACCACCCCAACCCAACCCGAAGGCCCAAATTTATCCTCGATTTCCAGTGGGGGGGGGGGTCGGGGAACGTTGAAAAAACACATGGTATCCGCACCCCCCCCAACCCGAAATTCGGGTCAAATTCGGGTCTTCGGGTTGGGTTGGGGTGGTCTGGTAGGTAGTCAGGACGCGCTCGTCTTCTCCTGGGGCAACTCGCTCGGGTCCTTTCGTGGAGCCCCGCTCGCTCGCTCATGGGCGGCGGCCCGGCGCGGCCCACGATGGCGCGCGGCCCCCGTGCGCCGCAGAGAAGGGGCCCTGCGGACTCGCCGCCCGTCACTGCTGCTGCGAAGGACCCGGGCCCCCTCGCTTTCCGGCCCGTCCCCGTTTCGTCCCTGGTCCGCGTTTCTTTGTCGGCCCGCCCTTCGGCCGGAATAAGAGCGCCGCCAGCTGGATTGGCATTCTGCTCAACTGTTAGCCTCAATTCGGGCCACACATCCCAAAGGCACTGTGTGGCGGCATCCTTGTTTTGATATTACCCTCCTTCAGATCCACATGGGGGTGGCGGAGACGGGGGGGGCGATCAAACCGCCGCTGAGTGAGCCAAGGGGTGTTCAAAACACAACCAAACACGCTCAAAACACAACCAAACGCACGCGGCTGCACAACAATGCGCAACGTCCATGGATGCCGCTATGGAGGAAGGCCGCCACGCGAGACCACTTCGACGCAGCGGGTCTGTAGAATGGGCGCTTTGCAACAATATTTCGGTGCAATCACACAACAGCGTAACATATATAACGACGCAGAGGTTTCGTACATTTACACAAGCGAACCGCCGCCAGAAGCCTGATCGGACCCCTTGGCGGTATCCCCAAGTCCACTGCGCCTGCAAGCATAAACCAGATGCAAAATGACGACAGCAACGCATCGTTCCTGCAACGCACAACGTACCACAAATCCGGATCATCATTATTTCGGCATGTGCATCTGTATTTGCACATGCACATGTGCATATGTTTGTGCGTTTGCACTTTGCAATCCCCCCGGAGGACGAGCCCCCCGAGGCATCCAAAGGCTTCCAGACATCCCCGACGACCCCCGAAGAGCCCAAGCAGACACCAGGGACCACAAAGGGTCTCCGAGGGCTGCCATGGACCTCCGAGGATCGCAAGGGGGATTCCCGGAGACCACCGAAAGCCGCCAGAGGCAGCCGAAGCCCCCCGAAACCCACCGGCCCCCAAGACGATCACCAGGACCGCGAGCCCTGGCGGCTTCCAAGGGTCCCGAGGACCCTGGAAAGGCTCGGGGCTTCCGAGAGCCTCCAGGGGCGGCCGACAACCTGCAGAGGCTTCGGACATACGCCGAAGACCTCGCATGACTGCCAAGGACTCCAGGGGCGGCCCTAGGAGGAGCGCTGGAGGCCTCCGACGGGGCCACGCCGAAGGGCTTCCCACCGGCGCTTCGGGGAGCCCGCCCTCCCCCGAGCAGCGGGCCCAGGGGGCAAGAGGAGCGGGCGCCGGCCAACCGCCGCGCGACGACGACGACGACGAGGGGGAGGGGGGAGGAGAGGGACGGAGGGAGGGAAGGGGGGAGGCAGGAAGGGAAGGGGAGGGAAGGGGGGAGTGATGTAGGGAGGGATGGAGAGTCAAGGCGGGGAGGGAGAGGATGGAGTCAAGGCAGGGAGGGAGAGGGTGGACGGGGACCCTATCCTCGATTACCTCGAGAGGCAAGGAAGCGGGTCGGGGAGCCGAGGGCAATCCCAGGGACGTCGCGAAAAGGTCTTTTGAGAGAGCAACGGTCCATCAAGATGCTGTTGTATAGTAGCGCTTTCTCATGGTAAGCTATATTGAGAGGAATTGAGAATGTTTGAGAGATTTTGAGAGGAATTGAGAGAAATTGAGAGAAATTGAGATATAATATCCCGGGGACGACCCAAATTGGGAGAAATTGAGACAGAAAGGTTCGCTTGGTGAGAAACTTTGAGACAAATTGAGACAACTAGTGCCGTCTGGTTCAGGACAATTGAGACCGCGTAGCCTGACTTGGCGAAGGCAGCTGAGCGTGTTCGATGGCAAACCGCATCGGAGATCCTCACGGGACCGCGGCCGCGCAGTGGCACCCGGACGCCATCCTCGCTTCTATTCCCCCTCCTCTTCCCTCCTCCGCTGTCCACTCCTTCCTCCTCGCCCCCCATCCTTCCTCCCCCTCCCTCCTCCCCCCCGCCCCCTCCTCCTCCCTCCTCCTCGCTCCTCCTGCCTCCCCCCGCCCCCTGGGCAACGACGACAGCAGTAAGAGGCGATGCGCTTTGAACGCGAGGTGCAGCGATGACCCTGGCCTGCCCAGGTAGGGGCTTGGGGGGGGCAACGGGGCGGGGAGGGGCGTGCGAGGGGCCTCGGACAGGGGGCCAAAGTACTCTCGTGAAAGGGCCCGCTAGCATGCGCCCGTCCCGCACCAGTCGCGAACACCAGAAACATGAAGATAGCGGGGGCGGTGTCTAAACGAGCAGCAGGGTCAAACCATGCGCCCCCGCGATGTTGTCTCATTACATCGTGTGCCATTCTAGCTACGAGGATTCAGACGCGGCCTTGCTCAGAGAACGCGTCGTCTAGAGTACGATGGGCCTTGACCTGGGATCAAGAAATCCGGGGCCCCGGCGCGACGTGGCCCCGCGCCCTCCAGTAGTGGCTGAAGAAGGTGGCACCCTTCAAGATTTAGGCGCGCTGCGCGACTCCTCGGAAATGAGCCATGCAATCCACTGCCAATTCTAAGGATCATTCGAGAGCGCGACCTTAATGGCGCATCACTTCGCGCGAGGACAAGGGCCATGCCAGACGACCGCTCCTGAACGCTAATGCGCGCGCGCCCCAAACCTGTTCGCTTCGCCCGAGCACGAAGCCGGCCGTCACGAAGCCCGCCCAATCACCAAACTGCAACATGGGCACCGCGACGGTGAAAAACTCGCGCGCAATGGGCACCCTCCGAGGAAGATAAAGATCATCTCGCGCCGGACGGCGCGCTCAACTTTCGCCCCCCCCGTCGACGCCACCCCCATGTGGATCTGCATGATACCCCGTGGGCAGCTAGTGCGCCCTGAATTTGTCGCTCATCCACAGCGCTGAGGGCAATTCTCTGGATCGCGTCGCGCTGTGCAAGAAACACGACGGGAGGTTTTTCGTGATTTTCGGCTTCCGGGGGCCCCTCCCGGGCCTCGGGGCCGTAAGAAACACGACGGGAGGTTTTTCGTGATTTTCGGCTTCCGGGGGCCCCTCCCGGGCCTCGGGGCCGTCAGAGAGTGACCTCCGGGTGGAAAAACTGGTCCCGGGGAAGGGGTCCAGACCTCTGGGGGGGGACGTTGTGAAAAAATCGCGTCGTCGGGGGTCGGGACGGGGCTCGGCCGAGCATACATCCTCGCCAGAGCGTTCCATAACGCTCTCAGAGATCGTTCTGGAACGCACTGAGAAGGCCGCGGCGCCCGAGACACCCACCAGAGACGCCGAGTCTCAGATATTCTCGGCTTATCCTCACCCAATTTTATCCTTGTCCTGGCTTCGTCTTAACATACGGTCGGGCCCAGGATAGAAGAGCATCCGTCAAGAGCGTGAGACCTTCCGCCGGCCCAAACTGAAAAACAGTCGAGGGTGCTCCTCCCCCAGGATGCACACGAACGTCCAACACATACGAAGAACACATTCGGATACCCTCCCCGAGCCGACTTCGATCTTACACCTCGGTCCGACCGTACTCTTTCGGCAGTCCGCTCGGGTTTCTTGGATATGTGCTTCACCCTTCTTCCTGGCGCGCGGAACGCTCCAAGGGCGGCGCCGGAGGCGCCGACAGGGGGTCAGCGCAGATCCGAGAAAATCTAGCGAATCTCCGAAGGTTATGGTTATGCCGTTTCTTCTTCTTCTTCTTCTTCTTTTGTGGTGACTCCAGAGGTCTGGATACTTGTGGTTTCCCTTCCTGTCGTCTCCCAGGTTGTGGTCCAGAATCGGCCACTGGAAAACAGTATCGCCGCCGAAGAGCCGCCGATCGCTCGAGGCTGGACACGACGATCCGTGCGGTGTCAGACAAAATCAGCGCAGGGGTCGCGTCAAGACGACACGAGCCTGCCGCACGCTTTCTGGCTCTCTCTTCCCGTCGCCCCCGAGGCGCGGGACCGCTTCCAGAACGGGGAGCCGCCCACCGACACGGCCGACGCAGAGTTCGAGAGGACGCCCGGCCTCGGGGCCAGGGGCCAGGGGGAGCGCAGCGAGCGCCGGGGAGGGCGAGGGGGAGGGGGAGGAGGAGCAGGGCAGCCCACCGCGAGACGATGTCCAGACGAGGAGGAGGAGGGAAAAGGAGAGAAAAGGAGGGAGAAGGAGGAGGAGGAGGAGGAGGAGGAGGAGGAGGAGGAGGAGGAGGAGGAGGAGCAGGGGGGGAGGAGCAAGGGTCCACCGCTTCGGAGCCTCGCCCACCCAGAGATCCGATGCCGTGATGTGTTCCATGCGCAGTCCCCGGAAGTCTCGACCCATTCCCCAGGACCGGCTTTTCATCCCGAGTCGTTGTTGGGCGGTCCCGGGGCCCAGCGAGGACACCTATAGAGGCCGAAAATCGAGAAAAGCCTCCGTCTTGATCTCTTCAATACGCTGGATCTCTGGGCAGGGACGTGGAGATGGATCATTCATCTGCCCGCCCGCACGCACGGGCAGACATCCAGAGCCACCGCCCCCAGAGTCGCCGGGACACGACTCCGCGGCAGTGGATATGGAATATGGACGTACTTTCCCTCCTCCCTCCTCCCTCCTCCCTCCTCCCTCCTCCCTCCCCCCTTCTCGGAGGTGAGATATGTGGAGTAGGAGGAGGAGGAAGAACAGGCTGGAGGAGGATGGAGGAGGTGGGAGGAGGAAGGCAGTGATGTCTGAATGGTCTGGGCGATCTTTTGGCGATCAGCTCCGGCAGCACGTGTATCGAGGAGCTCGAGTGGCCAGCATTCCCAGGGGTGCACTTTTGTACGAGGGGGAGGAGGAGGGGGAGGAACCTGGTCCTCCTGCTCCTGATCCAGAGCAGAGGCAGGTGCACTTGGACAGTGCGCGCTGGACAGCTGCGGCGCTGTTCGGTGGAGAGGCTTCTGCGCACGGGGAGCGGCGAGAGAATCTCGAGCCCGCTAAGCGGGAGCCACGGCGGGCCCACCCTCGGGGCACCCGCCAGCACGTGCTGCATTCTGAAATGACGTGGGGCTGGCAGGAGGAGGAAGAGGGAGAGGAGAGGGACGAGGAGGAGGAGGAGGAGGAGGAGGAGGAGGAGGAGGAGGAGGAGGAGGCAGAGGTGAGGAGGAGGAGGAGGAGGAGGAGGAGGAGGAGGAGGAGGGAGGAGGAGGAGAACGGAGGAGGAGAGAGGAGGAGGCGGAGGAGGAGGAGGAGGAGGAGGAGGAGGAGGAGGAGGAGGAGGAGGAGGAGGAGGAGGAGGAGGAGGAGGAGGAGGAGGAGCCTTAGGATGATCAGGATGACTCTTGGCGGCCTCTTGGGGCCCTCTTGGCGCCTCCTGGGGTTCTCCTGGGGGCCTCCTGGGGGCCTCGAGGCGGCCTCTGGTTGAAGGGCCTCTTGGGGGCTTTTTGGGGGCCTCCTTGGGTTTCTCGGGGCCCTGCGGGACTGTCTTAGGGGACGCTCTTGGCCCGTGTGGCGCGCCTACGGAGACCGTCTGGGACACCTCTGGGCCGTCTTCCTCTTCTGCGGGGCCGCCTGGGAGGTGTCTTGGGCTGTGCAGCGTTGATCCAGGGGCCCAAGCGTGCCATGGGGGCACCTGGTGTGCCAGCTGCGCCACGTTCGCCGAGGTGCGCCACGTGCTGCAGCCGCTCCAGGCGCGCCACGTTGTGCGGCACGCGAAGAGTGCGCCAGGTGTGCCAGCGCACGTGGCGGCCCACACGGGTCAACTTGTGGCTGCCCTGCCATCCTTGGCAACCGCCACCGCCAAACGGCGGCGGGTGGTCAGCAAGGTGTATGCTGTGCGTACGTGTGTGCGTGTGTGTGTGTGTGTGTGTGTGTGTGTGTGTGTGTGTGTGTCTGTGTGTGCGCACCCCGCAATCGGTTTGCGAGTGCTTTCGATGGGGGAAGTGGGCCAGTGCACACTGGACGAATCTGTTCCGACCAGCCATAACTGTCAAGGGCAAATGCAGGGTGTTCGCGGGGTGCTCGCTCTTGATCCAGATGTTGCCGCCGTGTGCGATTTGCTCCCAACCCTCCCTTGTCTGGTTTCTCGGTTTGAATAGAGCAGTGTGGGCCCCGCCTCTTCCCTGGCTCCCGCCTTCTCTTTCCTGTTTAGTCGTCCTCTCACTCGTTGGGACCTCGCGGGCCCTGTGGGGCTGCGAACCGCACAACTGTCGCCATTGTCGTGGGCTCCTGGGAGGTCCAGCGGGGTGGCAGTCCACGCGGATCTGCCGAGGCCTCGCGGTTCCTTGCGGGGCGGCGAACCACGTAATTGTCACCATTTTCGTGGGCTCCTGGGACGTCCAGCGGAGCGGGGGTCCACGCGTGACTGCCGAGACCTCGCCGCTCCTTGCGGCGCTATGAACCGCGCAAGTGTCGCCATTTTCGTGGGCTCCTGGGAGGTCCAGCGGGGTGGACGTCCACGCGGATCTGCCGAGACCTCGTGGCTCCTTGCGGGGTTGCGAACCACGCAATTGTCGCCATTGTCGTGGGCTCCTGGGAGGTCCAGCGGAGCAGAGGTCCACGCGTATCTGCCGAGACCTCGCGGCTCCCTGCGGCGCTATGAACCGCGTAATTGTCACCATGTTTGTTGGCTCCTGGGAGGTCCAGCTCATGAGTACTGCGGGTCCCTCAACAAGTTTTTGTTTTGTATTGAGCGCTCCCAAGTACATTCGCCAAATGTGTAGAAAGGGTTGAGTACGTCACCTGGTTGTTTGGCAGGGACGGTGGTTGGGGGCCTTCAATTTTCTCCTAATCTGCGGCCAGTTGAATGGGGGAGGGGGTGCTCGTCGGCTAGGCGCAGCGATGATTCTCCCACCGAAAGGGAAACGGGGTCCCGGCAGAGGAAACGTTCTGACCACACCTGCGACCAGAGGCCGAATGTGATACTTAGGATGGGGCGGGGGGGGGACGGAGGAGGCGTTCGAGGGGCCTTTTTCTGTTAAAAGCAGGGCGCTGATTTTCTGGGGGTCAGCAGAAGGTGGGATGAGGGGGGAGGAGCAGGATGAGGAGGAGGAGGAGGAGGAGGAGGCGGGCGGAGGAGGAGGAGGAGGCGGAGGAGGACGAGGAGGATGAGGAGGAGGAGTAAGGAGGAGGAGGAGGAGGAGGAGGAGGTGGAGGAGGAGAAGGAGGAGGAGGAGGAGGAGGGGGAGGAGGGAGATTCGGTCCTCGTGGAGCATCGTGTGCTCTCCTGGGTCGTTGCATGGTTCCGTCTCCTGGTCCGCCTCCCTCTCTCTCTCTCTCTCGCTCTCTCTCTCTCTCTCTCTCTCAGTCTCTCCCCCTTCTCTCTCTGCGCTCAGACCTTCGTTCCCTCCTCCACGCGTCCGCGGATAGAGAAGAGAAACACTCAGCTCCAATGGGACAGGATGCGGGGGCGGAGGGATCGGATGTCAGCTGTTGCGCGAGCGCACCTAGCTTGCCCTCATCCGCTTTCCCCTTCCCTTAACGTTCTCCCGTCCTCTTGTACCCTCTGGTTGATCGTGCCAACACGTCCGCGGGGTTGCGCTCCTCCCTCCCCGCCCCTCCACCTCATTCTCCACCGTCCCTCCTCCCTCCTCCTCCCTCCGCCTTCCCCTTCCCCGTCCCCTCCTCCTCCTCCTCCTCCTCCTCCTCCTCCTCCTCCTCCTCCTCCTTCTTCTCCTCCTCCTCCTCCTCCTCCTCCTCCTCCTCCTCCTCCTCCTCCTCCTCCTCCTCCTCCCTCACTTGTGCTACTTCCCGTTCTTCTCCTGCCCCTCCTCCTGCCCCTGCTCTTCGTGTGCTCCCGTCGTTCAGAATGGCGCTCTCGCCGCAGCGCGGGCACTTTTCTGGATCCGAGTCCCATATGCATCGCTGTCGCCCCCCACATTTTCCCTCTTCCGCTTTGCCCTGGGTTTGCTGTTCCTCCCAACCCTTCAACTGCAGTTTCTGCTGCTGCTGTTCGTCATCCTCCTCCTCGGTCTACGTCCTCCTTCGTTGCCTCCTGCTCATCATCCTGCTCACCCGCCTCCGTCGCATCCTCCTCCTTCTCCTTCTCATCCTCCTCCTACGCACGCAGCTCATTTTTTCTATTGTGCATAACACGATTGGGTCTTGTTGTTGGAGTTCCAGGTCGGCACGCGTCCCTGTATTGAGAACAAACAGCGCAATGCGAACGGATGGGAGGGAGGGATAAGGTGTCAGACGTGGCATGAGCGCACCTAGCTTGCCCTATCCCCCTCTCCCGTCCCCTTCTCCCAATGTGTCTTCCGATCTCATCGTTCCTGACTCCTCCCCTCCCTCCCCTCCCTCTCCTTCTCCTCCGCTTCCTCCCGCGTCCTTCCTCCCCGCTGCTCCATTCCCTCCTCCGTCTCCAGAAGCGACTTCCAGGTGGCGGTCCGGCTCCGAGTGGGCGCAGTCTGCACCAGCCCCACCGCGCTCTGCGCTCGGTGCGGCGCCTCGCTGGGGACGACTGGCTCCCATGCCCTCTGCTGTGCCCTGCCGGAGGCCACCCGCGGGCACTACGACGTCCGGGACGAGGTGCTCCGGTTGGGGCACTTGGCAGACCCCACCGCCGCGACTGAGGCTCTCGGGCTCATTCCCTCTGCTCCAACGCTCCGCCCCGCGGACATCTTGACCTCAGCGGCCCTCCCGGGCCGCTTGGCGGCGTTGGACATTGGGAGCACGAGCCCCGACGCAACCGGCGCGGGCGCGGACTGCTGCGACGCGATGTACCGCAAGAAGCAGGGGGACTACCAGGAGTACGAGGCCGAGCTGCGGGCGCAGAACATCACCTACCGGCCCATGGTTTGGTCGGCGTGGGGCCGCGAGCACCCGGAGACCAGCGTGATGCTCTCCGCGATGGCGGCGCAGGCGGCCCGGCGCCGTGGGCTGCGGGGCCACCGGCTGCTCCACCGAAGAGTCCGGAGCGCCATCGGCGTCCAGCTGGCGCGACGGGCCGTGCGGATGCTGCACTCCTGCGTGCCGCGTTTCGAGGAGGAGGAGGACGCGGCGCTCTTCGGGGGCTACTGCGACGACGGCGCCCGGCACGAGCCGCGGGCAGTCCGGCTCCTCGCGGGCGAGGCAGACGCCTGGCCTGCACCCGCGGAGCTGGGCGAGGCGGAGAGGGCGCCAGCGGCCGCCCACGGCGGGCTGGGCAGCGACGCGGAGCCAGACGAGCCAGGCGGCCGCGTGCCCGAGCCGACCGAGCTGGGCAGCCTGGAGCCGACGGAGCTCCGCGGCCCCGGGGAGCCGCCGGGCAGCGCGGACGCGGGCCTGGGCCTCGCGGAGGCGGCCAGCAGCCTGGCGCCGACGACGCCCCGCGGCACCTCGCCAGAGCGGGCCGGGGCGGACGGCGCCGAGGGCAGGCTTGCTCTGCCTGCCCAGCTGCTGCCGCCGACGGCCAGCGCGCGGCGCGCCGGGAGCGCCGCGGGGGGCCGCGTCGCCGCCCTGCGCCTCGTGTGCGGGGCGGGCCCGCGGCTGGGCGGGCGCTGAGTGCGAGGGACGAGGACGTGGCTTGCTTTCTCCCTCCTTCCTTATCTTCCTGCTCTTCCTCCCCCTGCGTCTCCTCCTCCTCCTCCTCGTCCTCCTCTTCCATCCCTTTATCTTATACGTAGATCGTCCCTGTCGCACCCCCTGGGTGTGTCAGTCGGGTGGGGCGGGCGTTTCGCTTGGGACCTCCTCGCCATCTGATGATCCTGACGCTTACAAGTTGCATCCCTTTCACGGATGGAGGGCGGGTAGTTTTCAAGTATTTGGCTGCCGCGCGCATTCGTTGAGTTGTAGTTGTTGCATTTTCGAGGATGGAGGGCGGGCCGGTTTCAAAAGGTGACCCTCGCTTTAGCTAGCGCTGCGCACATTCGTCTTAATTTGTTGCAGCAGTTGCAGGGATGACGTGGCGTTGGTTTCAGCATGTGGCTCTCGCCGTAGCGCCGATCACATTGGTCATACGGAATCGTTTGCAACAGTTTGGAGGGTGAAGGGCGGTTCTTTGTCAAACTGTGGTTCTCGCTTTAGCGCCGCGCACATTCGTTTGGAAGGTTTGCAACAGTTTCAAGGGTTCGCATGCTAGAAGGAATGGTGCCCTGGCCATACTTAGGGTTGTCAGAAGGCAGCAGTCACGTTGATTCGTGGTGCTGAAGTCCCAGGGCGGGTGTTCTGGCACGAGTAAGGGTGGTTGTCAGGACGCAACCTTCACGTTAATTCGTGACGTTGAAATCCCAGGACTTGTGTTTTTGAGCCAGTGGTTACTCTCAAACGGTGCTCTTCCAATGGGCACCCTTCTGCAAAGAAACGAAGGGCCATATGAACGAGGGAATTTGGAGGGAGGGTTTATTGCACAACTGTTGATGCGTCTCGGGTTTACACTGGACCTCCTTCTCCTACTCCTTCTCCTCCTCCTCCTCCTCCCCCTCCTCCCTCTCCTCCTCCTCCGCCTCCTTCTCCCCCTCCCCCTCCCCTTCCTCCGCCGCCTCCGCTTGCTCCTACGCCTCCGCCTTCTCCTCCTCCGCCTCCTTCTCCTCCCCTCCCCCTGGAGGATGAGAGGAGGTCGTCGTCCTCATGCTCGTCGTCGTCGTCGCCCGCGTCTTCCTGTCTTGGTCGGGGTCTCCCCCCGCCGCCGCCGCCGCGCGCGAGGATGCTGCAGCTGGAGCGGCAGAGGGAGGTCGACAGGCAGGCGGCCATCCAGCGGAAGCAGGACGTGGCCCCCTTCCCCCCTGGGCGTGGTCGTCGTCGGAGGGGAGGAAGGAGGGCAGGATGACGCAGTGCAGTCAGAATGCCGAGGCACAAGATCGAGGCTGGTCGGTTCGGGGAGGGCACCCCACCCTGCTGCTCTTCGTGCTTGTCGGATGCTCGTGTGCACCCCGTGGAGGTCCCCTCCTCCTCCTCCTCCTCCCCCTCCTCCCCCTCCTCCTCCTCCTCCTCCTCCTCCTCCTCCTCATCCTCCTCCACCTCCTGGCACATCAAACAAGACGTCGGCTTGCCAGCAGGTGCCTCGCACGGACATGTCGGATCCCGATCCCCCGATGGCCGCAGCGACCCACAGCAGCTCGGGGCGCCTCGGGACCATTGAACATCGATGCGCAGTAGGCCCAGCATTTCCAATGTCAAGATTGCTTGTCGTATCTGCCTACTACAGGAACGAGGGTGAGGGGATTTGGGCTGGGGCCAGCATGGGAGGGAGGGGTAGGTGGTGGAGCGGATGAGGACGAGGAGGGAGGAGTGGGTCCAAGCTCTTACAGGAGGAGGACATCGTCAACAGCAACTTCACTCGCACCACTGCGGAGCCGCGCGTGAACGCCTACATCCCCGAGAACGAGCATGGCCTGCCTAAGGCCTACGGCAACGCGGCTCCCTTCAAGCCGACTGTCGCAGGCACGGTGGGGGAGATACATGTTGTTCATGTCTAAGTATTCGAAAGTTGCTTGATTTTTTGGGGGCCAAGGTCCTTTAATTTCTAATTGTTCTCTCCTGGGTCTCTTCCTGGCCACTAGGGGGCCAGTAACAATTAGAAACGAGCACACTTAGAAATGAGCACGATTAGAACTGAACGACGTGTACAGTTTGACCTCTTGCTTCTTCTCTCCTGTCCTCGCAGGCGATATCTCGCCCGCAATCCCCGCATCTCGCCAGCACAGGCCAGCTGCCCAGAGAGGAGGGAGGTTCTGGTTTACGCCCCCGGAGAGCTACTCGAGGCATGGGGGGCCCCCGTAGCGTGTCCCCGAGTCTGGTTCCAATTTTTGCTGGCCCATCGACGGTCCCACAGAGTCGGCGATAGGTCAGGGCCCATTTCGATCCCATCGACGCGATTCGAAATCAATTCTGGCCGGCCCCGGTCAGACTCGATCCCGATGTATCGACGATCCGATGTGGCCCCAGGCTTCCACGGCGCTGCTGTGCCCTCTGGCGCTGCAGATCCGACTCGGTTCTGGCTCGATACCGAGGCGGCCCGATCCGACGCTCGTCTCGGTTCGATCCGATTTCCCGCCTCGGTGATGACCGATCCTGGGATGGGTGCCGCTGCACCCTCCGTGGTGTCCAGCTCCGGTCTCAGTGCCAGCTGCATGTTCGGGTCCACGTCCAGCTCCCCTACCCCTCCCTCGAACCCCGCCTCCCTCCTGCCTCCCTCCCTCTCTGTCTCTCCCCCTCCTGCTCCTGTCCTCTGGAGTATTCAGATAACGACGAGGAGGCGAGGTGGAGCAGTATCAGGGGGGGGAAGACGAGCAGCAGAAGCAGGAGGAGGGACCTATGAGGCAGACCATCCCGGCGGCTCGATGGTGGGGCAGGGGCCCTCGCTGGTACATCGTGGTGTGCCTGAGGCTAAGGTCCGCTGGGCGCCGCGCACTTGGGACTAGCCTCCTCCCACGCCTTGGCATCGCTCGGACGTGTGCATGTCTTCTCTGCGAGGACCATCGAAGAGCCTTTCGGTTTCCGGCTCATCTTGACGCACGAGGCCGAACAATGCACGGAGAATGGACGTCCGAGCGATGGCGAGACGCCGCATCCCTTCGGGCAGGCACCAACATGCGGCACATCCGGAAGCCGAACCCCAAGCCGATCGAGCTGTGACGGCCGGGTGCCTCTGGCGCATGTTGCTCTGGCATTTCACCTCGCTGTCGGACTGCGCTTTCTGCCCTTGCCCCCCTTCCTGAATCTTATGTCGTTCCTCCTCCGCTTGCTTCTCCCTCCCCCTTGCAGAGGGCGGAGCAGAAGTGGGACCGGAGATCCCCGATCCGAGTTCCCTCCCCTCTTCTTTTCTCCCCTCCGTTTCTTGCCTCGCCACTCGTCTCTCCCTCACTCCCTCGATATCCCGTTTTCCGATGCACTCCTACCCCCCCCCCTCATCCCATTCGTTCCCCGCCCTCGCCATGTCTTGTACTTCCTTCCCCTCCCCTCCTTCCTCCATCGGCCCTCCTCCTCCCCCCGCTCTTCACTCTCCCCTTCGCTTCGTCCCTGCCTGCCTACGCATGCCCCAAGGGGCCACTGACAACCCGACGGCTCCCACGCATCCCCGCGAAAGGAGGGGCCCCCCATACCTGCCTCCCTGACGGAGCGTGCGCGGCGCGGTGGCTGTCGCCACAGCGCCGCGCACGCTCGTCTGAGCAGTGCCCGAGAGTTGCACGGATGGTTGGCGGCGCCTCGTCAAAGCGTGTGTTCTCGTTCCGGCGTCGCGCACTAACGTACCCCGACATTTGCACGGATGGAGGGTGGGCGGTGCTTTCCTGAGTGTGGTTCGCGCGCCCGGGCGCCGCGCACACTCGTCTTGAAAGCTTCCGAGACTCACGCGGATGGAGGGGTAGTGGTTTCAAGTTGTGGCTTTTGCTTCAGGGCCGCTCCACCAAGCCTAACGTTTCCAACAATCATGCGGGTCGAGGGCGGCTCCTGTTCAAAATGCGGCTCCCGTCTCAGCGCCGCGCACATGCGTTTTGAACGTTCCCAGCAGATGCACGGATGAATGTGGTGGGTCAATTTCGAAATGTCGTTCTCGCTTTAGCGCCGCGCGCACTCGTCTCATACCTCGCACAGTTTCAACGGTTACACGGATGGAGAGCAGTTCCATTCACTAACCGCTCTTTCGTTTGAGATTTGTTTTGCGATCGATCAAAAACAGTGCAACAGCTGGTTCTAATCGGGCTTCTCGCTGGTGTTCAGGAAATTTGACTTAGCGTTTCGCGCCGCTGGTTCTGGCCCACCACGCTTCGGCGCGACACGCTATCCGTGTCCCAGCCCCCGAGCGTCAACGTCCCAAGCTTTGCCGACCCTCCCGCCCCGCGGAGCGGAGCGGCACGGTGTCCGCTTGCAGGACACGCCATCCGTGATTTGCTTGCTGGGGCCTCCTCCTCCTCCTCCTCCTCCTCCTCCTCCTCCTCCTCCTCCTCCTCCCCCTCGTCCTCCCCCTCGTCCTCGTCCTCGTCCTCGTCCTCCTCCTCCTCCTCCTCCTCCTCCTCCTCCTCCTCCTCCTCCTCCTCCCTCCCCTCCTCCTCCCTCCTCCTCAGGTTGGAGTACCGGGCGTTGCAGACTGGAGAGAACGCTTGCACGCATTATACGGGCGGCTCTTCTTCAGTGCGGTGTTACCTTGGAATTTTCTGATTCTGCCTCATCGCCGTCCGAATGACCAGAATGTGGGTGTAGGATCGTTTTCAAGACGGTCCCCTCGCCCGAATTGCGGGACCATGTGGCGCTCGTTTTTCTCAAGGGGGCATTTCATGCAGTGAAAAGGCCTTGGGACATGTGGGCGTATTGCAGCATCGCTGATGCATTCCTTCTCCTCCTCCTCCTCCTCCTCCTCCTCCTCATTCTCCTGGATCCTTCTCCTTCTCCTCCTCCTCCTCCTGCTCCCCCTCCCATCCTCTATGCCTCCTCCTCCACACGTCGATCCGAGGACCTCTCCTGCCTGGCCAGCTTCTCGAGCTGCGTCCAGCCGTGGCCACGACGGGCCTCCCTGGAGGCCGGAAGAGGGCCAAAGCGTTCAAAGCTGGCGCACGGGTGCGGGAGCCCAGTGCGCCTCGCCGCCTTGGCAGCCCGGGTGTAGTCTCCCCTGCCGCCTCGTCGTTTTCTCCGCTCCGTGCTCGTAAGTATGCTTAAGTCGGGCATGTCCCTCTACAGGTGGAATACTCAAACATAGTAAGAAGACAGTCTGGGGATGATTATTTGATCATTGTTTGAGCATGTCTGAGTATTTTTGGACTATTTTTCATTCTCCCTCCGAAATCCGCCTGTAGGGGGACACGCCCGGCCTAATCGTGTGCTCGTCGTCGGCGTTCTCCGACCGAACCCAGCGGGCTGTCGAGGGGTTATGTCGCTGAGCTGCCGCCCGTTGAGAGGGCGGCGCGCTTCTCCGCAGCGTCCAACGCGTGGAGCATCGTTCCTTGCTCCTTCCTTCCCTCCTGCGGGACCCCGTGCCTGCCAACCAGGCAAGCCCACCGCGCCGTGTGTCACACCGGGCTGCTCCTGCGCCTGAGCGCGTTCTCTCCGCCTCCGGCCGGCCCCCCCCCCCACTGGGGCAGACGTAGTCTGCGGGCCGCCGGAGCGCTGACCTGCCGGGATCGCGAAAGAGCCGGCGCCTCCGGCAAGGCTTCGGCAGGCTCTCCCGGGCAGTCTTGGCTGGCCTCCACGGGGCCCCCATGAGTGGTTTGGGCCTTAGTGGGCCCCGGAAGCGGCAGGGCCGTGTTTTCACCGTTTCCGGCAAGGTGCCCCTTGAAAATGGAAACGGCAACAAAAACGGCGACCGGAAAGGGCAACGAAAACGGCTCCAGGATTGGAACCAGAGCGGGAACACGGCGACGGAACCGGTAACAAAAACGGTGTCGGAACCGGCAACAAAAACGGCAAAACGGAACCAGTGAAAACGGCTTTGTCGTTTCCAGGGCCCACTAAGGTTTGGGCTGGCCTCAACAGGCCCCCCGAGTAGTCTGGGGCGGTATCAGCACCTCCTACCCTGGGGCGTGGAGCGCCAGGGTGTTGAGACCGCCCTGGACTGCTCGGGGGGCCTGTTGAGGCCAGCCCAGACTATTCCAGGGGGCCTGTTGAGGCTAGCCGGGACCACTTGGGTGGCCGTCCGTGTGACCCGTTCTTCTCTTCCTCCTCCTCCTCCTCCTCCGTCTCCTCCTCCTCCCTCATCCTCCTCCTCCTCCTCCTCCTCCTCCGTAGCCATTTTGGCTCAAGATGTCTGGTTTGCGTGAGGAAGGCATGGATACCGCTAGTCCGCGGCCAGTCCAAGCTTTCCAGCTACAACCACGGGTGAGCTTTCAGCACGGTGTGGGTGGCGTCGCTTTCCTGGTCCCGCAGCTGTCCGCGGCCGCAGCGATTGGGGCGACCCCCACTTTCTCCTTCGACGTCGTGATCCCTGGCAGGGTTGCCCTTCTCAGTGTTGGCGATCCTTCGTCGCAGTACAGCATCAAGATAATGAACGTTCACAATTTTGACCTCTCTGACGGCGACTTCGCCGCGGTGGAGTGCTGCACGGGTACGTTCGCGCCACTATTAGTGGGACCGCCGAGGCCAAATTCCTGTTTCGGCCCAGTGGGCGAGGCGTTTTTTCAGAGTCCCGTGGTCACCGCGATGCGGCATGTACGGCATTTGGCCCCCCTCCCCCCATACGTACGGTGCCGACCAGTTGGTGTTGCGGACCTCTGGGGCAGCGTCTGCTTCGGTTCCTTGGATGATGTTGTTTTTTTCACCACCCCAGGCTGATTACGATGTAGTGGCAGTTTGGCACCAGGGTGCCGACCGTGGGTGTTGCACGGGCCTGTTCGCGACCAGATTGTCGGGGCGTCTGAGGCGAAAGTTTCAGATTGTGGGAGCGTCAGATTGTGTGGGCTAGGGGCAGTTCTTCTCACAGCTCCTACACTGCCACGACAAGGGGTGTTAACCAGGGGTGCTCCACGGGCCCATTCCCGTCCAGAATGTGGAGACCTCTGGGCGGAACGTCTCTTCTGGTCCAGTGGACGGGCCTCTCTTGAAGCCCCATGACCACCGCGATGTACACCTTAGGCGATGCTTAAGAAAACCTAAGTTTTCGCCCAGAGTCTCGATTATTCTTAATTTTCCAATGTAAATCCCAAGATTTTGATAGAAGTTCTGGGTTTTATTCAATTTCTGAGACTGTGAATTTCTTAACCCATGATTTCTTGAGCATTTCGCAGGGTGTAGCAAGCAGTGCCTCCTGGGTCGCCCGAGGAGGTGCCGACCAAAGGGGTGCCTCAGTGCCTCCTCGCGCCCGGCTTGTGGGGACCGCCGGGCGAAGCACCGGCTCCGGCCCCGTGGGCAAGTCCTCCTCCTCGTCCTCCTCCTCCTCCTCCTCCTCCTCCTCCTGCTCCTGCTCCTCCTCCTCCTCCTCCTCCTCCCTCCCCCTCCTCCTCCTCCTCCTCCTCCTCCTCCCCCTCCTCCCCCTCCTCCTCCGCAGGCATGGCGTGTGAGCCACCCACGGGGAGTCCGGCCCGGGGTGCCGCACGGGCTCGTTCTCGCCCAGATCACGATAACCTCGGAGGCGAAACGTTTCTTGCGCAGCAGTGGGCTTTCCGGCATCCAGAAATTCATGACCATCGCGATGCAGCAGACATGGCATTTAGGCTTGCCAGAAATGGGTGCCGACCAGGGGTAGTTGCACGGGCCCCGTCACGCCCAGACTGTGGGGATCGTTCCGGCGACACGTTTTTGTTCGGCGCGGTGGACGAGTCTCTTCTCAGAGCCCGATGACCGTTGCAGTGCAGTAGGCATGGCATTTGGGCCTTGACTCCAGCGATGTAGCGGCAGGCCTCCACGGGCGCGGACTCTCCGCATGCCGCTCGCCTCGCCTCGCCTCGCCTCATCCAAGGGAGTTCCCACCATTGCATGGGCACGGACGCGCCCGGATTTCGGGGACCGATTCCAGGGACCTGGGGCGGGTAGAGAGAGAAGTGATCAGAAGGAGGTTGAGCAGGAGGCGGGATGCGTCCTCCTCCTGCGTAATCTTCCCTTCCTCCTCCTCTTCTCTCCTCCCCTTTTCAATGCTTCGTCTCGTCGTGCTCCATCCTCCTCGTCCCTCCCTGTTCTTCTTTGTGCCCCTCCCCCTGCTTTGCCTACTTCTCCAGGGTGTCACTGGGGATTGAGACCAAGACAATGCGAACTTGGATACTGTCGCTTTACCTCCCCCTGTACCTCCACTCGGTACTTCTCCTACTCCATGGCTCCTCCGTTGTTGTTGTCCTCCCCCACATCCTCAGTGTTTTTTTGTTTCCCATGTGCACCCCGCGCAGGAACCACACACATTATCATCACCGCCATCACCATCACTATCGTCACCATCATCATTGCACCACTGTAAGCGTCATCATCATTATAAGCATCAGCATCATCATCATCATCACCAACATCATCATCGTCATTGTCATCGTCACCACCATCATCACCATCACCTTCACCATCACCACCATTATTATCACCAGCATCACGATTAAGATATCATTACCACCATTCCGTCGTCATCATCATCATCATCATCATCATCATCATCATCATCATCATCATCATCATCATCATTATCATCATCATCATCATATGTGCATCATCATCGCACACACACATTCATCTTCAGAACGTCTCGAGCGGGAGCCTCGTTTATGATTCAATGTTGACTGGGTTGCGGGGAAGTATCGAGCGGGAGCCCCCTCCCTACGGATCCCCTGCTTCATGCTACTAACATCCGTGGGGGTCATTCGAACCCCGTGACCGTCGTCACACTTGGGCTCCTGAGGCCTCCGATGGAGGGAGTCTCGAGCGGGAGCCTCGTCTGTGAGTGAATTGCGAGGAATATCGAGCGGGAGCCCCTCCCTATTGCCCCCCCCCGCATCATGTTATTAATCGGGGGGGGTTTATTCGAACCTTGTAACGGTCGTCACTTTTGGGTTGTTGAGGCCTCCTACGGAGGGAGTGTCGAGTGAGAGCTTCGTCGGTGAGTGAGGTGCGAGGAATTATCGAGCGGGATCCCCCTCTCCCGATGGCCCCCCGCTTCATATTATCCGTCCGAGGGGGCCATTCGAACCTTGTAACTGTCGTGGCGTTTGGGCTCCCGAGGCTTCGATATAGACGGAGTCTCGAGTAGGAGTCGTGTTTGTGAGTGAGTTGCGAGAAAGTGTCGAGCCCCCCCGCTTCATGTTTTAATCCCAGGTGCTCATTCGAGCCCTGGAACCGTCGTCACTTTGGGCCGTACGTCGTGCGCCTCTCGGGGTTCGCCCTGACCACGAGTCCCACCTGACTACCACGCTGCCGCAGGGCCAGGCGCTGCGCAAGGGCGTCACCATCGACTGCGCCAGTGACGACGACGCTGGCCGCACGAACATGTCCGATGATTAGTGGCGGCTGCACCCCTACGTCATATTCTCCCGCGCCGCGTGCATGCGGAACATTTTGAGCTTGCGGCCGCCCCCGCGCGGGGTGCCAGGGCGTGGGCCGCTGGCGCCCCTGCAGAACGCACCCCTGGTGTTCGACGAGAGAACGGAGAGCTCCAGGGCCGAGGCGGAGCAGCTCGCCGCAGAGCGGGGTTTCGCGCCGCCCCCTGCTTGAGCGCGACCGCGCCCAAGTCGAGGCGCGCGCGGTTGTCCCAACGTCGTGCTCCCGAGCCCCAGCGGCCCGCGGGTTTGTCCCAACGACCTGGCCCGCGGGGTCGTCGCGCTGGCTTCGCGATCTGGCGATCGGAGAGAGCGCCCGCCGCCAATCGTGGCGGCGGCGGCGCCACTGGAAATCGATTGCCCTGGCCAACAGGAAGGAAGGCGAGGTGCACGAGGATGAGAACGGGCAGGCTGGGGATAAGTAGAGAGGGACGGACAAGGATGAGAAGGTGTATGAGGAGGAGGAAGGGGTGGAGGATGAGGAGAAGAGGAGGAGGAGGACGAGGAGGATGAGGGTGAAGAGGAGGAGGGGGGGGAGAAGGAGGCGAAGACGGAAAAGCACGATGAGGAGGAGGAGGAGTAGGAGTAGGAGTAGTAGTAGTAGTAGTAGTAGGAGGAGGAGGAGGAGGAGGAGGAGGAGGAGGAGGAGGAGGAGGGAACGGAGGGGAATGAGGAGGAGGCAAAGCTGAAGGCGGGAAAGGAACTTCCGCCAGGGCGAAGAGGAACGGGCGAAGGTCAACCTAAATAGATGACCGTGCGGGGCTTTACCGTCGGAGCAGTTCCTTTCAGAACCCTGTTGGTGTCACTGCTCGTGCGCCCGCTCTTGCTCTGGCTCCAGATCCTGTTCGTTCCTGTTCTCGATCTCGTTATTGGTCCTTTTTTTCCTGCTGCTGCAGTGCTTTAGATTATCTTCAGATTCTCTTGTGTATTCATCCTGCCGCTGCTCCTCCTCCCTGTTCCTTTTCCCTCATGCGTCTTGGGGTGAGAAGGAGGAGGAGGACGAGGAGGAGGACCGAAAAAGGAGGCGGGGGAGGAGAAATACGAGGGGATCGGTGATGATGGTGGTGGTAGTGTTGAACACGACGATGCTGCAACACCTGATGCGGCTGATGATGTCGATGATCACGGTGGCAACGACGATGATGATGATGGCGACGATGTTTCTGATGATGATGCTGTTGACGTTGCCGTTGATGCTGCTGCTGGCGATGATGAATGCGACGGGTATGGTGGTCGTTGAGCGTGCGAAGACAATTCCGGCGACGGTGAGTACGATGTTGTTGATGATGCTGCTGCTGCTGATGGCGCTGCTGATGCGGATGACCATGATGACGCCGCGTCTGATAATGACGACAGCGATGGTGATGATGGTGACGATGTTGTTATTGGTGATGATGATACTGGTGATGCTGATGATGATGCTGATGATGCTGATGATGATGTTGATGCTGCTGATATTGATGATATTGATGATGTTGATGATGGTGCAGAGGCAGATGCTGAGATTCATGCTGATGATGCTGCTGATCATGATGAGGACTCTGCGGCTGCTGCTGCAACTCATGATGACGATGATGCTGATGCTGTCGATGATGAGGGTCTGGATGATGAGAAGGAGGATGATGAGTATGATGATGGGGATGAGGACGTTGATGCTGATGTTGCTGATGATGGCGATGCTGATAATTATGATGAGGCTGAGGACGATGATGATGATGATGTTGATGTTGATGATGATGATGATGATGATGATGATGATGATGATGATGATGCTTATGCGGCTGATGATGATGATGCTGATGCTGAGTGCCATGATGCCGATGATGCTGTTAGCAAGTGCGATGCTGCTGATCAGGTGGTGGGGATGATGGTGAAGCCGACGATGATGGAAGACTGGCGAGGAGGGGAGAGGATGAGGGGAATGTTGGAGGAACCTATGGGTACCCGTACGTCGAACGCAGATAGGTGTCATGGAGCTACGGGAGTTTCTGCCACGATCGTGCCGCGATGAGCGACTTTGCTTCGAGCTGGAAGCCGCTAGTCAAGAGGAGGATGAGTTGGAGGAGAAGACCTGCGAGCAGGAATATGGGGGAGGAGTAGGGAATAATGATGGTGAAAGCAGGGGAGGCAGAATCGGAAGGTGACGGGCAATGCGAGGCCCCCCCTCGTCTCAGTGGGTCGAATGCACAGCGTAGTCCATCAGGCCAAGCCCCCCCCCCGCGGAAGAAACCAACCGATCGAGGATGAAGATGAGGAGACTGAGGTGGCACAGCAGGGGGACGGGACTGAGGAGGTTGAGGGGAGGAACAGGATCGAAAGAGGAGGATCATTGAACGCAAGCAAGACAACGGTCTTCACCAATAGCCTCGCCTGTGCCTGCGCGGAACAACCAGGGCCTTTCGGTTTCGACGGGCACGACCTTGCTGTCATGAGTGAGCACGTCTGTGACAAGTACCTTGGCAAGAAGTTTAGTGTTGACTTGAGGGGGTGGTCCCTGTGCAACCTGAACTACCGCTTGGAATGCGCATGGAGCGAGTAGAATGCAAAAACACGTGTATCGTTCAACAGCGCAATATCGTTGAAACTACGGTTGCAACGCGGTTGTCACGCTGACCGCAGTCTTTGGTATTGCTACTACAACTCTCACTCAGGGGCAACGCGACATAATACTATCAACGCGCATGCAGATGCTGCGCACAATTGTTGTCTTCAACAAATTTCCAGCAGAGTCGTGGGAGGATGCTGGCAGACGGTGCAAGGAACAAATAAAGCATGTGTTGTCAATCCTGGATGTTCCAGATTGGGTTGCGTGAGTCGACCATGCACGTTGGCGATTGTTGACCAGACTCGCGGCGCATCCTTGCAGCTGGCCGCACAGGGTGTTGGCGTGAACCCCAGTCGTCCAGCAGCCCGGTGGACCGACAGCGTTTCTACTTTCCTGCGTAGCAGCGATGCGCGGACTTCGGCACGAGCATTCCGGGAGTTCTCACGAATGAAGTGGTCTATGTTGGACAGCAAGTATGCCGAGTCCATGAACAACTAATTTCCGTCGCCCTTCTCCTTACCCCTCCTCCTTCCCTCCTCCCCTCCCCATCCCCTCTCCACAAGGACGCCTGTTGATATTGCGTCCAGCGTTCCACCTTCGCCGCCATCGTTGCCCGTCATGGCAGGCCTGTTTTGTTACAATTTCGCCGTCCCAGCGACTGGGGCGTGACGCTTTCGGGCGTCCGATCGGACTCTTGGCTTTTGGCTTTTGGAGAAGAACAAGGAAGAGCATTAAGGAGGAAGAGGAGAAAGAGGAGGAGAAGGAGGAGGAGGATAAGGCTACGGAAAAGGAGCAGGAGGAGGAGAAGTTCGATGATGGTAGTGGTGGTGGTGGTGGTGGTGACGATGCTAATGATGATGGGAGGACGGGGAGGAAGAGGAGGAGGAGGACCAGTGTAAACCCAAGACTCATCAACGATGTTGTGATACACCCTCCCAAGGTCCCTCTTCATATGGTCCTACAAGGGTTTAGCTTCATTGAGGGAAGTGCCCCGTTAGAAGTCAACCGCTTGACACTCATAAACTGCGCCACAACATAGTTCCTGGGATTTCAACGCCGCGAGTTTCGGTTATTCTTGTGTCTTGACGATCCTGAGTCGTGCCAGACCACCGTTCCAAGGACATCAACACCACGGATCAACGTACCTGCTGCGCCCTGACAGTCCGACATCGTGCCGAAACATCAGCTATGGGACGTTAGCAATGAGAATCCTTGAAACAGTTGTAAACTCTTAAGACGAATGTGCGGGGCGCCAAGGCGGGAGCCACATTGTGAAAAGGAGCCGCCCGCTCCGTGAAAAATCTGGCGCATCTTAAGACGAATGTGCGCGACGCTACAGCGAGAGCCACATTTTGAAAAAACACCAGCCTTCAATCCGTGGAGCCCTTACAATATTCAAACACGCATGTGCGCGGCGCCAAGGCGAAAACCACATCTTGAAAACCATCACAGTCGAGCATCTGATGAACGAACCTCCCCCCGAAAAGCTCTGCGGCGCAGGGCGAGAGCCACATTTTGAAAGCGACCCGCCCTCCATTTGTGAATTTGTTTCACATGTAAAGCTTCAGGGTCATAGATGGTGAAGACGTCTTAGTCGAAATGCCCTGCTCGCCCTTCCGTCTGGCCTCGGGGTGCGATAAGGAGGAGTTCTTCATAAGGGAATGGGGTGGACTGGAGGAGGAGGAGGAGAAGGAGAAGGAGGAACAGGACGAGGACGCAAGGTGTGCGAGGAAAAGTCATACAAGGAGGAGGAGGGGGAGGAGGAGGGGGAGGAGGATGGGGAGGAGGAGGGGGAGGAGGAGAAGCAGGAGGAGGAGGAGGAGGAGAAAGAAGAGGAAAGAGTCGACGACGATGACCAGGAGGAACAGGACGACGACCCAGAGGAGGAGTTGGAAGGCGAGCGCCTAGACATCCGACGTCACGATGTTTCCGCGACGTGGGCTCCAGAGCTCTCGATTTTTTTTTTTGTTCCTCGTTTCTCGTCGCTGGCCGTGACGGCCTCAGGACCCGACGCGAGCATTTGGATGCCCACACGCAGGAAACCATGGCAACCACTGCTGTGATGTCCGAGGTCTGGGAAACCCGCCCCGCTGCCAGCGCCCTCCCCCGCCGCCGCCCCCACTGCCCGACGGGCGAGGGTCGAACTTCGAAGCTCGAAGGTCGACCAGCTTAACCCAGTGTGCATCAGCGGTCCCAAGTCCCTCAGTCACAAGTCCATACACCTTAGGCGATGCTTAAGAAAACCTGAATTTTCGGCCAGGGTCTCGATTATTCTTAATGTTTCAACGTAAATCCTAAGATTTTAATAGAGATTTTGGGTTTTTAGTCAAGTTCTGAGACTATGAATTTCTTAACCCATGATTTCTTAAGCATTTCGCAAGGTGTACTCGCCCCCGGAAGCCGAAGGCTCATGAAGCTGCAATTCAGCCGAGAGCCGCGTCCCGCGAGAGTCCGTTTTGAAGAGCCAGCCGCTTGCAATCCCGTGTGGCTGTGGCGCAGTCTTACACCGTCGGCATGTTCGGTCGTGACCTATCAGCGGAGTCTCAAGCGGGAACCCCATGCTGTTTTGCAGGAGCAGCCCTCCACGTGGGTAGATGCTGGAGGCCGCGAAAAACGAGAGTTTGCGGCGCTAGAGTACGAGTCACCTCTTGAGAACGACCCGCGCTTTGTCCTTGTGATTGCCGGCAGCCTTTCTAAGACGAGTGTGCGCGGAGTCTCGGCGAGAGCCACGCTTTGAAAACCATTCGCCCTCCATCTCTGCAGCGGGACTGTGTGGCGAATGGGCGCTTCGGGGGCCGCCCGCCTTCCAATCTTCAAAGCAATTGGATCTGTCCAGCTTTGGGGTCATACGTTGTGAGGAGGTCTCCGGCGCCTCCTTCCCGCCCGCCCTGCCGACACGTTCGGTCGTATGGCGAGGAGGAATTCAGGTCGGGAACTTTTGGACACCGCGGCGCGGCGCCAGTTCTGGCCCACCAGGCTTCGGCGCGACATGCTATGCATTTCCCAGTCCCCACGCGTCAACGTCCCGTTTCCGAGCCTCCCGCCCCGCTTAGTGGAGCGAGCATTTATCAGCTCGCCTGGCATAGCGTGTCGCCAAGGCCGCCGCATAGGGGGTCGCCAGGGCCATCGAGAGTGGTTACGGATGAACCCAAAATGAGCGAAGAGGCAAGGATGCACGGGTGCCTTTCGGCAAGTCGATCATCGTAATTATCAGTTCTGAGTGTATCCAAAAGTTTCCGATTGCATGTGGTCGCGAGGACGCGGGATGGAAGAGAGCCTCCGCTGCGCGCCTGGCAGGCACCTTTTGGCTCAGCCCGCCCCGGCGTACCTTGCGCCCCGCACAGGTGCGCGCGCGCCAGCGACTTTCGGCGCGCAGGCGCGGGCAGCTTCGAACCTCTGCCGTCTCAACAGAAACTCGTCGCGACGTCCCCAAAACAATACTTAGGTGCCATGTTAGGAGGAAACATCGCGACAACAACATGAACTTAGCTCTCCGGGGATTTCTTGGATCTCCGCTGGGCCACCCCTGGCGGCGCCTCCAGCGCCATGGAGAGGTTCCCAGCGACGGTCCAAGAAATCCGCGTAAACCGCCGGGTCTTTTCGCTTACGTATATAAAGTTCCGCCTGTGTATATGGATCTGCATATGTAGATGTAGATGCATATGTATAAGTAGGTGTATACGTACATGTTTATTTTGTATATGCGTATGCATAGGTGTATGTAAATGTGTATGTGTATGCGTATATATTTGTGCATGGGTGTGTGCATTGGTATATGCATATGCACGTATGTGATATGTGTATAGGTCTATGTGATGTGAGTATATATCTGTACGTGATAGCATGTGTAGGTTTATACGTATATGTAGATCCATATGTACATGTGCATGTATATGTAGATGCTTACGAATACGTTCTTGCTTGTACATATGCACATGTATGTATGTGTACAGTCTATGTACACATGTGTATATGTATTCATTTGCGTACATGTGTGAGTATGCATGCATCGTGTGTTGTACTTGTATTTGTACATGATATATCGGTGCACATGCATACCTACTTAAACTGCATATGTGGATGACATGCGTATGTGTAATGATACACCCTGTATGTGTACATGTCGATGTAGAGGCGTTTGTATGTGTACTTGTATATGTCCATGTACGCGTATGATTATGTGAATGCGTATATGCACGTTGCTATATTTGATATGTTTTTTTTTTTGTAGAGGTAGATGAACATGTATGTGTATGTTCATGTCCACGTGCATGTATATGTGTATAGGCATGAATATGTCGAATTATATGAGTATGCGTACGTACTTGTATTGGTATGTGTATATGTATACGTATGTGTAGATGCAAATGTGTATGTATCGGTATACGTTTTGTAGGTTCACATTGAGGTGTCGTGTATATATGTATATATGGGTGTGCGTGTGTTTTTGTTATTTGCGTGTGCTTTCAGTTATTAATCGCTTCGCTCATTCCGCCGGCCCATACAGTCTCATGTCTGCCGTTTGCCCGAGGGCCTGGTGTCAATGCGGCGCTTTGGGGGTTCCTGGGGCCGCTTGGGGGACTCCTGGGGCGCTCGGGGGGGCATTTGGGGGGCCTCCTGGGGCCGCTTGGGGGACTCTTGGGGGCCTCCTGAGGGCCCCGTGGGGGCCTCTTGGGGCCTCTTAGGGGCCTCGTAGGGGCTTCTTAGGGCCGAGGGCTCGAAATGTTGTTTCGTGTTCCCTCTCTGGGGCCCCTTTGGGGGCGTTCTTGGGGCCCTCTTGGACCGTTTTGGAGGCTTCTTGGGCCGTCTTCGAGCCCTCTTGGGCCATCTTGGGGCCCTCTTGGGTGCCTCTTGGGCCCTCTTGGGGCGATCTTGGGGGCCTCTTGGGCCGTCTTGGGGCGTCGGGAAGCCGAAAAGGTGGAAGCTCCAAAATCTCTCAAAAACCTATGGAAAAACAATGATTTTTGCCTCCGGGGGCCCTATTGGGAGTGCTCTTGGAGGCCTCTTGGGGCGTCTGGGGGCTATCTTGGGCGTCTTGGAGCGATCTTGTGGCATGTCGGACCCCTCGTGTACCATCTTGGGGGCCTCTTGGGGGCCTCTTGGCCTTTCTTGGGGCTCTCGGGGACGTCTCGGAGCCCTGTTGGTGCGCTCATGGAGCGCTCGGGCCCGGCCGGGACCCGGCCGGGACCCGGCCGGGACCCGGCCGGGACCCGGCCGGGGACCGGCCGGGACCTGGTCGGGGTACTTTTCGTCCGGGGACCCCCAGGGGCCGCCCCGCGCGCGCGAACTAGAAAATTGTTAACCAGTTACCGGAGATCTTAGCACGCCTCTGGCCCGTTGGGCCGGCGAATTTGCATATCGAATGTGACTTTGCACATGTATGCGCATGTCTAGATGCTTAGGTGTACGTGTACATGTATATGTACGTGTAGATGTAAATGAACATGCGTAGTTACATGTCTAGCTCGATGGGCATGTGTATGTATAGGTGCATGTATAGGCAAGTGTAAGCTTATATGCATATGTGCATCTGTATGTATGTAAACATGTATATTTATACATGTGCGTATATCTGTGTGCATGTGCACACATGTGTGTATGTTCATTGGTGTACCTGCATGCATATGAACATGTACACTTACGTGCATGTAAATATACGTGACGTCTATATACGTACATATACATATAGGTATGTATGTATGTATGTATGTATATATATATATATAGCTGTACGCATTCAATCGGTCCCGTGATCCATAGAAAGCTGACCTGGCACAACTCTGGGCCCGTCCAGGGAGCCCGTGCCCGAATCGCCCGCGAGGTCCCAA